AAAAAAAAAAAAGGCAACACATTTCTCAAGTTAAAAAAAAAAAGAAGGTTAAAATCCTCAGGGATGGACATTTACAGAATTAAAATTACAATTTTGTACAAAATTTTTGAAAAACCAAAAAACAGAAAAAAAAAAAAAAGGACAGCGCCACAAGTTTTAGTGGTTTTCCGAACATACAAAAACCTTTATAAGTCTACGAGAAAAATCCTTGCCGTCGTTGGCAACTAGGATAGCGCGGTGGGACCTTCTACGGGCGTCTTGAGTAGCTTTTTGAGCCGACGCTTCCAAAAAGTTTCCTCGGTTCTCCGTACTGTTACAGGCGGGGGAAAGCACCGGAGATGGAGAGTAGAAAAAGCCCTTATGTTTGGCACCAAACGGGAATCTGGTACGGCCTTGGCTGGTGTCAACGGTAAAAACAAACAAGGTCCTGAAGCACTCGAGAGGTGGGGGGAAAGTGGTCCTTGTGGTCCATGTGGTTCCAAGTCTCAGCCGGTGTGAACAGTTGCCGATCTTGATTATTGCCGAGAACAAGGGGTGGAGGGGGAGGAACCAAAAGCTCTGAAAGCAGAGTCATTAAGCGCCCTGATCATTGGAAGAATGGATTTAGCAAAAAATGGAAGTCTCGGGTCCCGAAGGCCGTTCATGGACGATGGACGTTGGGTTGGGAGTAGAAAGGACAGTTGAAGTTTGGTGCACACCCAAAAACATTTTTGTAAAAAAAAGTCACGTTGAGTTTGCCGTGAGGCCGGAAAAAAAACCAAAGCCACCAAAGGAAGAAAAAGATGGTGTCTGTATTGAACTTTGTATTCCTCCCGTAGGTCCAAAAAACAAGGTTTCAGACCGAGGTCTCTGACTGGAGCCTCATGACGAACTTATGAGATTTGGGGTCCACAAATTCCTCGGAGAGCTTGAAGAAAGGGATCTTTTTGGTGCTGACCACCAAGCTGAAGTCTTGCCGCTTTAGGACGAACACAACGCCGTCTTTCAGCCCGTTGGTCACGGGTTCCTCGCTCACCAAAGTCCACTGCTTGGCTAGCCAGCGGTCTTTGTGGTACTGGATGGTGGGGCCGGGGCCCAGGTACCGCTCGAGGAAGGCCTGCGGGGGTCAGAAAAAAGAAGGTCATTAGTAGCAGGAAAGGATCCCTGTAGAAGAGCAAAACACATAGGTCCCCTCCCTCCCACCCCCCCACCCACTCTATGATCCTCTGGCGCTGATTGAAGGAAGGGACAGGGGAG